ATTTCATAATTATTATTTCATAATTAAATTATAAATAAATTTTAATGAAAATCTAATTTTTGAAATTTAAAACTTCAAACCTTAATTTTGAAATGGTGATACTTAAATACCTTATTTATGTATTGTTCCCTTCTTATTATCTTTATTTCTTTCATCAATTTCTTCAATTTAAATATGAACCTAAAACAGCTTCTATTGTTGTTTCAACTTCGAGTTTTATATATTCTCATATTGTAAATTCTTCCATAACTGGAATCCCCATGTCTTTCTTACATCAGTTTGATGCTGTTGTGAATTGATAATGTCTACGAGTTTTGTATGCTGCTTAAGTCAACTTCTTCAAGCCATGGATCATTTACAGTATTAAACAACAGGATAGACCTTTTAACTTAATCAAGGAAATTTGCTTGTTGCACACGATGAAATTCTGAAGCAAGGTATTGTCTCTGGAGAAGTATATACAAATATTTAATGAGTTAATGCCGTGGTGTCCAATCATGGAAAGTACAAAGAAATCAACTGCTTGCTTCATGGATGCCTCTTGAATTCAATTCCTATAGGCATATAAATAAGCGCGTGTATATCATATACAGATATTTTGAATAATTTATCTAAAAAAGAAAAAGGTACCGTCGGGACATTCAATGGTGTAAAATACTCTATAAGTCTATAAGCACGCGTATGTCATCTTTAATCTTCCACTATCTAAACAATGATGTACAGACGAAAAATCCTTGAAATTGAATTAATTTCNAAATCCTTGAAATTGAATTAATTTCCACTGTTATTAATATTTACGATAAAACGTATCACATTACCCACTCTATTTTTCCATTAATGAATCATGAGTACGTAGATCCTTATCTTGGTGATAATGGTCGTAGCATTAGCACTTCTACTAATATCATTGCATCGACGAAATCAAATATATATTAATTTATTTTCGTATGAGATTATTGCGAGTGCCTTTGGATTAACCAATGAATAAATGGTATTATTCTACATGTATCATTATCTTTGGTGGCACGATAATTATCTTTTCTAGTCGAAAAGGTGGAAAGTTTTTTGATTAAATTTTTTGCTATTGCCTTCTCCACTAGACAAATTTGCAGGGTAGACTTCTCTATTTTTCTCTTTCTTGAAAATTCCATCTTAGGATTGATTCTGTGAATCTGAAATCAAATGCTACGTCTAATTTCTCTATGATCTGTCTAGTAGTTGACTGGTACATAATTAATTTGAATAACACTTTGTCTCTTGCTTTTACGTCCCTTTTCCTGCACTATGAAATTGAGGTGAAGAAACATTACTAAAACTATGAAAAGGTGCAAGTTTTTTGTCTTTTTATGAGTCATGAATTCAAGATTATTGATGTTGCGTCTCCCTAAGATAAACAATTCTTTTTGTATTCTTCCTTAGTACTTCAGAAAAGATGAAATTCCTTTTAAGTATCATACAACGTTTTCATTTTTTAAACTGTCCTTTGTTTTCCTTTTTATATTAAGCAGAAAGGTAGGAAATCATCCGCCTTGCTGAAATATCTAGGCCATAATCTTCATGTTTGATCATATGAAATCTTGAATGAATTGAGACTGCAGATGTACCACTTGTCCCTTTCAGTATTGCGGGTTGAAGCAAGCACAAGGGGAGGATGTGGGAGTTCTGAAAAAAATGTTTGGTGCAGACGGATCATAATTCTGTTAAATTATAAACAAGAGAAGTATTTTAAACCTTTGTGAAAAAAATTGAAAATACAAATTAGACTATACGTTCTATTATCTTTCAGAGCCTAGCTAAATTTTGTATTTGAAGTACATCTTTCATGATAACGTTTATTCTCATCTATTCTACATTTTCCTATTAGTTTTCCCATATGCTAGTTCACTTCAGGCACACTATCCAGCGAGGGCGTCCATCCTCTGCAATTCATGTTAGCAATCCTGTCAATGGTGTCAACCTTGTGTGTGCTTTGTTTCGATACCAAATCATGAACTGAAACTCCTCCCTTTCGTAACATTGCCTGCAGGTCTTGTTTGCTGATGACAAGCTTAATCCTCAAAACTCCGGTTGCTTCTCCAGCTCCTTCGACTGAATCAGCAAAACGAACGGTCTTCTTCTTCTTAATCCGCGGTGGAGGAGCCACTGGTAGAGGTAGAAGGTAATATGACTGACCCCCTATCATTTTAGCGTTTGGATTCATGTACTGTACTACTGGAAGTTCATCTGATATTGCATGGTGAGAAAATTCTGATAACACGTGATGAACTTCTAATGGGGCTTTGTATTCAAGGATTTTCCCATCTATTTTTATGACTTTGATAACCTTTTCCTGAAGAGCAAAGCAATTTCCCATGGCTCCGTGAAAATTGGTTAAGGGAGAAAGTTTTGTATGTAGACAAGAAGTGGCTTCCAAGCAAGATTTGTGGAAGTAACTTTGGTTTATTTATAAGCGAAAAGGCCTAAAGAAAGCACTCAAGATTTTTGAATATTACAAGAAAAACTCAATTGCACTTTGGGGCCCACCTTGTTGATTTTTGTTCTTGTGCTCTGGATCATGAATGGTGATCTCCTCATTGTTGTGATCATGATCCATTTGAATCTTTAAAAGTCCAAAAGTTTGCAAATGGAAATTATTGAAGTGATAGCTAACCTTTTTGTTGTGCTAGTTAATTATAGCTGTTAACATTGAAGTGAAATCGAATCATAGGTAACAATTATATTATTTTAACATGATTCAACCGAAGATGAAGATGAAGATTTTTTGAAGTTTGTTGTCCCTCACAAATCATATTTATGAAACTCTACGTGTCAAGCCTACGACAAGTGATGGGGTGTCTGGTGGATAAGATATATATAATAATAAAGCTACTTGTACAAAGTTGAGTTACAAAAGTTGGGTTACAAAGTGTGTTGGTAAAATCCAGACCGTTGATTTTAAATGATTTAAAAATATATTTTTAAAATGATTGGTGTAGATGTTACTTTGTCAATCAATTTTGTAACATAACTTTGTACATGTAGCATAACTCTATATATAAAGAGTTTTTTTCCTTTTTCTAACTTAAGAGTGTGTTTGGTGCATATTAAAATGTGAGAGTGCATTTTTTTTTGAAGTGATGTGATAGAGAATATGTGGTTGAAAAAGAAGGAAAATTTATTGATATGATGGAAAAATTATTTTATTAAAGAATGTGTGATTGAAAATGAGAATGAAAATGAGAAAAATAATGTAACTCAAACATGGGCTAAACTCTCAAATGAGTTAATTCAAGACTCTCGAGATCACGCATCTTGTAGGAGTGCTTTTGTAGTCTAAGTTACCCAAGTGCTCATGACATATTTAGTAGATAGGATTTGACGACACTTGATGGCATAAGAAAACGAAGTTAAAATTAAAACTGTGTAGAATATATTATCAAAGTCTAGTTTAATACTACGCGTCTAATATACACTAACGCGCTAAAGGGTTAGAAATGTAAAAAATTGATGAAACACTTGTATCAAATCCCAAAACCATATTATGAGAGCGATTATGATTATATTACAATGGTAAGTGGACGATTATTATATTCCATATTTAGAGGGAAATTTCAGTTAAGATCTAGTGAGACAACTTCTAGTTAGTGGTTGATTTGCTGTGTATGATGGTCGACTCCACTTATGCAACATCGACTATCTGCTGGACCCTCTAATGAATATATTATCAATTATCTGTGTGTGATACTGTAATTAGGACGGCTGGACCAACATTTTACTTATGTTTATCACATTTCTTTTACCTATTCTACTTAGGACAAATATGATATTTTGGTGGGGATTTCATAGCATAGGGTAGGGGTGGGTGGGGTAGGTTAGGTCTATGAAGATATTGGTTGATTATATCTTGATCCCAATAGATCATAGCATCCAAAAGTACTAAAACAAATTTGATTCTAATATGTTCTTTTTAAATCTTTGTATATCTGTTGATTGATTCATATGCTGCTATATTGAGTGCAGAGTTATCTATTAGTGATAAATTTTGTTTTTATCATTTTGGAAGAGACGACCCAAATATTCCCAAGGCATGATTAACAATTGATTTTATTATGAGACAATTCATGATGTTCATATTCATCTATCTAGTACAAGTCTTTTATAAAAAATACTAAAGTAAAATAAACCAAATTGTAGTTTTTACCTTTCACTCTTTCTTATAGGATTACATCTCTTGAGCAAGGGTAGAGGTGGGTTGGGCCGACTGCCCTGACCATAGTTATAATAATCAGACCGAATCGATTGATTCGACTTGAGAATCGTCGAACCGGACAGTGGTCTGATCCAGGTGGCAATATTTGGTCCATTTGCAAATAAATCGATCAAGAACCGCTTAGATCATTAAGTAACCGTTCGAATTGGATCAGTTCATTGAAAACTGGAAACGGCTCAATGTAAACCAATTGATCCATAGCAAAATTTTATTTCATATTTGCACATAAAGAGATTTGAACCTGTTAGGTCCAATGTTGTAATTGACATGTTTGTGAACAAAAGGGTCTTATTTGAACACTTGTAAAAAGTCAAGGACTTGGATGCAATTTTGTATAGATGAGTTAAGTTAGGGTTAGAGGTTGAAAACAAGGAAAATGCAACGCTGAAATTTCGCTAGACTGTCGCCCACCTTTCGCCTTTATGCGGCCAGACCTAATTCGCGATTTTGAAAAGTTTTACACGGCCGATAACACCTAAGCGTCCCGAACTATAAATACAGATGTCTGGGACGAAAATTGGTGGTTGCTTCATTGTGCTTACGTTACATAACACATTCACATCATCTTTTGAGAGATACAAGAACACAATTCATTGGTGAATCATTCATATCATTCTTGAGATCCAGCAACCAAGTTTTGGGAAAATATCAAGGTTCTTAAATCCAAAACACCTAACTTCCTTNATAACATATTCATATCATCTTTTGAGAGATCCAAGAACACAATTCATTGTTGAATCATTCATATCATTCTTGAGATTCATCAACCAAGTTTTGGAAAAACATCAAGGAAGAAGAACAGGAATCCACTTGGAAGAGATAATTGAAGAAGATCGGGAGTCTGTAATTTACAGTGGATCTTGGAAGCTACAGGACGTAGATCGGGAGATCTAGCAGGTTGGCTAAATAGTATCTACGGTAGCAGATCGTGAGTCTGGAGGAACAGTAGATCTTGGAGATTACAGGAATTACAAATAGGGAACTAGTGAAATTTACTAGGCTGGAAACAAACTGTAATCCATATTGTCTATAGTGGAAGTAACTGGTTTGGTCCCGGAGTTTTTACCCAATTGGGTTTCTCTGTCATCATTTTGATGTTCATTCTTTATTACTTTCCATATTACAAACGGTGGTATTCAAATATAGGAT